ACAAAAGAGCCTTGTGGAAAGCTAAGTTTTTTGGTCTACAATTCAGGCAATGTACTATATTTCACACAAAAACAACACCTTATATTGTCTTCCACATATAGCCAACAATGAGCCTATGTCATTATCTAAGAAGATCAACATCATATCCACTATGTAATCCAGTCTGTCTTTTCTATGTATTAATATAAAATCTACTACGTTCATGTCAACTATGTAGTCCTTCCTACCCTTTCTATATATCAACATAAAAACTACCATGTTACAACCTGCATAGTCACTCCAAATTACTCACATATATGAAAAACAACTGGTCCATGTTAAGATACAAATAACAGACGCACCATACAAAAGACCACTCGATATATGAGGAATAAGTGGTCCATTCTAAGATACAAACTATGGAAGCGTATGCCAAAATCGAACCCCTGTCTTCGCTCCAGATTTCCCACATGTTGCAACAACAATTTATAAACAATCGACCAAAAAAAGTTCACATATCTGGCCCCGCAACGCGGGGTTACCCATCTAGTTAATATATAAGTTGAAATAATACTTATATACAGTAAACCACTACTTTTGGTGTAAAATCCCAATTTCCTCGGACTACAATTTTCATGTTTAAAATAATATAATGGAAATCTCCAAAAGAAAGTTTTAATACTCTACCATAATTTACGGAAAAGTCCCAAACTAAAATTTGTTTATAAAAAAGCATGAATTACCGGTAAAAATGATGATTTGACCCCTTTTTACCGATTTTCCGGTTTTATTACTTACATGGTTCCAATAGAAGTGAAACCGATAAACCGGAAAAAATGAGTCAAATCGCCATTTTTACCGGTAATTCATCCTTTTCATAAACAAATTTTAGTTTGGGATTTTTTCGTAACTTATGGTAAATATTAGGACTTCTCTGGAGATTTCCCATAATGTAAAAATCCATTTTTAATAAAATTACATTAAGGTCAAACCATTTGTTCATAAATCATTATTCAGAAATCAGAGTTATAAAGAAGACAATGCAGAATCTCGAATCATAAAACTGTTGATTTGTACAATCCTGCCTATGCAATCTGGTAAGTACCTGTAAAATATTTAATCCACAATTATAAGCAAAAATCCTAGCGAGTTCCCCAAAATATCGCATACAACACAACATAATACTCAACTATAGGTTATCTGTAGCCCTGGAAATATCAATTGTCCTGAATATCACATACATCACAACAATATGAACAACTATGGGTTATCAGCAACCCTGGGGACCACCCGCAGTCCCAGTGCGGTAACTACACGCCCTATGGATTAACAACACACCTCGCAGGTTATCAACAACCCTGGGGACTATTAGCAGTACCATGGACACACACTAGTGTAGGAGTTATCAACAACTTACTTCACATATAAGAACAATCAATAAATAAGACCCAACTGGTCAGCATGTATACACTACCATACATGCAGATATAGTGAGAAGACTCACCTTGTAGATAGCAGCTAAACACAACATCTCTCAAACAGTGTAGACCGGTACTATGAGACACCTAACAACAATAAGGAAGTACCCTCTCAGTCTACACCTTAAAACCCTTAAACTGACCAAAAGTCCACCATGGTCGAATTTAACAATTAAGGTCAACGGTAAAAGTCAACATCAACTGATTGTCACATCGTGGCCTCCCATTGGTCACGTCGTGACAACGTTAAGACAAAACAGTCGCCAAACTGTCCGTTGCCACTTGCCAGGTCGTGACAATCAACCCATCACGTCGTGGGAACTGCTCTGGATAGCTTAATGCTTTAAGCTCTTAATCTTTCAAGCTAAGCACTCAAACTTTATAGAAGGATTTCTCCATGCCAAAGCACCATAAAATCATTGCTTTTTATACACTCATGTCTTGAAGACAAGCTAGGTCAAAATAAAGGGAAAATTTGATCAAATCTCATGCATGGAATTCACAACTCACTAACTTTCCAGATCTCAGACAAGGGATTACAAAGGAGTCTCAAGAACTCATAAAGTTGATCACTTTATGAGATTACAACATTCAAACCTCCTCAAACATTGGGAAAATGAAGAAAAATCTGGATCTAGCATGCTTGAACTAAAAAGGTAGGAACTTAAGGACTTACAATAGTCCTAAGACAACTCAAGATTATGAAGGAGAGGCTTGCTAGCTGAGATAGTGCACCAAAACAAATTGCTTCTTCTTCAAGGCTAAAAATCACCAAAAAGGAGCTCACATGATCAAAAATGGGGCTAGGGTTTCTTAGACAGAAATAAGGAGGCGATGGAGGCTGAGGGTGTGCAAAC